TTTTTGATGTAGCCCTTTTAAGGGTTTTTAAATAAATATACCCACTTACGAAGACTAACCGTATTCTATAGTGTCACCATTCATTATATTCAGAAAATCATCAAGAACTCCTTTTTTATTCAGCGCCCACAACAGAATATTCAGTATAATCAGTATTCTATCATATGCTTTCTCAAGATCAATCATTACCTATGAATCTTTTTTCTGTACCTATTCATATATTTGTCCATTAGCTGCCTTATGATGAAACTTGTGTCTGTTGTTGATCTGAACTGTATAAAGCATAAACGATTTTAGCATATCTAGAATTCCTCACATCTCTACTCAGATAATTTCAATCACCGTTTCAAGCCTTCATTTATCTGCCATTTTTCGTACTTTCATAATTTTTTTAAACAAATCGGTTAGTCTCGTTCTTTTTTCTCTTAAAGCTGAACACACTCTCCTCAGGTATCATATGTGCAACTGATGTCTATTGAGATCATTTTTATGGACTAGTAATTTATTATTTTTTTCTCTGGTATAGCTGCCCATATGGCTGTACCATATGGACGGCTTCCTGTAGGGATTTTCCCACCAGAGTCTTCACTTGGTTTGCCCATCGTGGTCCCCGCTCTTCTAGCTATGTGGCCGATGTAAATTAGATATGCTTGGTTTACTTTTTTTAATAGTTAATAGTTTTTTTATATGAAGGTCTCCCTTAATTGACAGGTTGGTTTTATGTTCTGTCCAGGACACGCATAGAATTCTTCTCTAGACCCACATTTCGAAGGCTTCGATCTTATTCCTATAGATTTTTTTGAGAGTATATGTTTCAGCTGCATATGTTGCAATGGGAAAAATAAGGGCATTGGCCAACCTGAGCTTAGTATTTCTCGTTATTGTTCGGTCTTTCCATATTTTAATCAGTTTAGCTGTTGCAGTTTGGTCCATTGCTAGTCTATGATTTATTTCTGAGGAGCAATCGCCATTGTTAGTTATCAGGGAGCCTAAGTATATAAATCTGTCTGCCACTTGGTGTATGTGCGGTAATTGTTATGTGCTCTGTCTACAATTATTATTTGTGTTTTTCTAATGTTGATCTAAAGTTCAAATTCTTCTCTTATTCAGCTTAGCCGTTCAGTGATTGTAATAATTTCGACTTCATTCGCTGCTAGTATAAGTGTATCATCTGCGTATCGCAGGATGCTGATTTTACGATTTTACTACCTCCTATAGCGATTCCTCCATCCCATCCGTCTAGTACTTTAGTAGTCTCATTATATATTCAGAATATAGTTTTTATCATACACATGACTTATTAGGTTAACCAGATGGTTAGGTATTCCCATATTTTCCATTATATTTCAGAGGGGATCGAAAGCCTTTGTGTATTCTACGAAACAGAGCAGCATTGGTATGTTGTGTTTTCTCGCTTTTTCTATTATCTGTCTGGTATTCAGTATTTGTTCTCCCGTTCCTTTTTCTGATACGAATCCGCATTGTTCTTCAGCTATCTTTGGGAGTAGAAAGCTCTTTAGCCGTTCATTGATTATATTTAGCAGGACTTGAGAGGCATAAGGGCAATAGTTCTGTAATTGCTGCATACGGTTAGTGATCATTTTTTATAGATAGCGATAAAGGTTAATTCGCACCCCTCATCAGGCCAGTCACTGTTGATCCATATTATTTTGCACATATCCAGTATTACATCTACTTCCCCATGTGAAGACGGACCACTTAAGTAGAATACCTTCACGGCTTCTCCTGCTTTTTGTAAAAGGCGACTAAATGGAGCAGCTGTCCGCTGTCCTCTACCTAAATTCCTAACCTGTCCTGTGTGATAGCAAAAACTCCCAACTATCATACGACACCCACCCCTACCCATCATACACATACTAATACCCAAACCTATACCCGAGGAGAAAACCTTCACTAATACAAAACCCAGTGGAAAAAACCACTGAGAACAAACGGATATGCATAGGACAGGCGGCTATGCATCATTCTAAATTATCACCACACCAACCTCAAGGTGTAATACCATACCATCGAAGGGGTGCATGGCCCAAGAGGAAAAGTGGTCTCAAGCGATACCCTAAGGAGGGGGTAAACCGAAGGGGATTATAGCCTTGGAGGAGTATGGGCTCCACTGCCCCGCTGGACCGAAGAATCGACCCAACTCGTGGAAAGAAAAATGGAAAAATATTTAATAAAAAAGAAGGTATAGGGGTAGGAGAATCTATGGAGGATATAGGCGAAGAGAGCCTGGCGGCAATAGGACATAGACGAAACAGTTGAGGAGAATGGCAGTAGAAAAAAAAAACGGGAGATAGTAATGACGAGAGTGAATGGACGACCAACATTAACAGAAAAAAGAAAAGGAAATTGCACGGAGAGAAAGACATAGAAGTTAGTGGAAATAAAAATGAAAGTAAAATCAATTTAAAAAGAAGTGAAACAGAGAAAGGAATGTCAAAGATGAAGGGATGCATTGACGAGTTACTGAACCTAACAAAGGCGGTGGTAAATATGAAGAATGAGATCAAACAAGGAGCCGCAAAGGTACGGCAGATTTTGTGGGAAATGTAAAGAAACATTAGACAGTTAATGTATAGTGCTACAGAGGATATTGAGAAAAGGGAAGGTATAAAATAGTTGCGTAACAACAATGGAAACGCAACCAAAAATAACTGTAGCAATAACTAAGAGGTGCGTAAGGACACATGTAGAAGTAAATTGTGAAGAGGGCACAGAATTACAAAGAAAAAGGATTGAGGAACTACATAAGACAATGGAGACGACAGAAAGCACCGATGAAATAAGTGAAGTATTAGATCAAGAATGGCCAGAGGAGGTTTATGATAAGGTAACCATCTGCGAAAAAGTAATTTAGGAGGCACCGGACGATGTGGCAATCTTGGTAACAGAGGACCTTACTGACGTAAGAGTGAATTATTGATAGAGAAAAGATAGGGATGGCAGCTTCAGTAGCACTCATCATCATCATTGGCTTTTACAACTCTTCGTGAGTTTTTGCCGCGTTTACTATTGCCTTCCATTGATTACGATCCTGTGCTATTATTTCCCATGGCCTTACTTCCATCTTCTCCAGGTCTTCCCTGACAGCGTCTTTCCACCTTTTTCTAGGCCTTCCTGTCGATCTTTTACCATTCAGTAGCACTAGTAGTTGAAAAATCAAGAAAAGTGTTAGAGTGGGCAGCAAGAGGAAAGAATGTAACGGTAACGATATACGGCAAAATGTTTAAGGAAAGGCCAAGAGTAGCCACAGAAAAGAAAGGGATGGTAATCATCACAATACCGAAAGACAAGTTCTATGCTGAACTTGTAAAAGAGTTAAGGGAAGAGCTAGGAGAAAGAGAAGATGAAGTCACAAACAAGGTTAGACAAATGAGACAAAAAGGTGTGGTCTTGGCATTAGATGGGGGCAGGAAAATGGCGGATCAAATCAGGAATTTAGTAGCATCAAGACAAGGATGTGCAACAAGACTAGTGGCAAAAGGTGGAAAAGTAAAGAAGGGTTTGATGCTGGCGGACATGGCCTAACCACAGAAAACTACATCGTCGAATCGGTGGAGAAATTTGATGGTAGGGAGGAAGCATGTGAAGTAGTTGAAAAAATAAGGACAAACAGGGGAGACAGTAGAATTTGTTATGTGGAGGTGGATAACGACATAGCCAGAAGACTTTTAGTGGCAGAATAAAGATCGGCATGCGACATGTCACGGTAAAGGACATGGTGAAGATGACACGATGCTATAGATGCCAAGCACGTGGCCACATAGCAAGAGACTGCGAGGGAGAAGCAAAAGGGGTGTGCTGAAAGTATGAGATGGAGGGCCATGTGCAATCCCAGTATCAAAGTATCACTATGTACCGTTCTTAAATAAAACGAGCGGTTCGAATTTATATAAATATATTAATTTATAAGTTTACAGTTCGGTAATATCTTATCCACTAAACTTAACTCATAGAAGGTATGCTTATATATAAAAGTTATTATGTACTAGAATATTCTGGCGTAGTCCACCTCTAATTCTTTTGCTTGACGGGTGGATCTCTCCCGCGGTCGATTCATGTGGAAACTTCTCGTCATCTTGCGATGCAACCGTTATATGGGGTGCGTCGAATGCATGTTCGTAACAATTGTAAAGTGCTTCAATATCAATTGTAACGAGGAAGGTCATATATCTACGTCCCCTTGGTGTCCCAAATTCAGGGGAATTATCAAAAGAGCAAGAGGTGAAGGTGGAAGCAGAAGAGAGACAAAATGGGGATTAAGCGTGAAAGAGAACACATATAATACTAGACACATCTCTTCAAATTCTATTAGAACTCACTTGTCTTCCATTTTTGCCTTGAATACACATTCTTTAACACCTTTTAACAACCAGCATTTGGTATTTTTTTTGTGGTTTTTCTAGATGTTTTAGTTTTTTTTTTTGCTATGCTAAAGGGACTTATCCCTTTTTGAAATGTAGTAAGCACCTATGGAAAATATGTACACGCCTGCGTCATATTAAAATGAAATAAATTGTATCGCTAGGATCACTCTGTGCCTATAGGTAATGTTCTTTACAAGAATATTGTAAAGTATCTTGATTGAAATGCTCAAATAATTATTTGTCCCTTTCTAATGCCACACCCGACACTTTTAATAAATAAAGAATAAAGGTAATGAGTTTTCTCACGAAAAAATCAACGCCACATTCAATTACTAGAATCGCGCAAGTCTGTAAGGTAGGCGCCAACAGCCAACTTTTGTTTGCAAAATGAAAATGTGAATGTCAGTGTCAGTAACGCGGTGCGAGTATCGAGAATCGAGTACGCTTTGCTATTTCCCTCTGTTCGCTCGCTCGCATTAATCCAGTTACCATAACACCGGCCACGTGCGTGATGCAATAACCTACAACTAAAAATCATTTAGAAAATGTGCCATAAATACCACTGAATTTATTTTAAAAGTTCTCAAGAATAATTTGAGCTATCTAATATTTAAAATGGGGGGTAAAAGCTCCCCTCTAGCTAATGGGAATTCAAAAAAATATGAAAGTAGTGATACAGATACGGTAAAACTTCAACGTAAAATTACGCTTATGAATGGGGTCGCTATTATCGTGGGTACAATAGTAGGAAGTGGGATCTTTGTATCACCCCAAGGGGTTTTTGTCGGCACAAAATCCGTCGGCGCGTCGATAATCATATGGTGCTTCTCTGGAATCTTTTCTATGTTAGGAGCGCTATGTTATGCTGGTAAGTGAACTTTTATAAACAGTTTAATATAGGGTGGCCTAAAGAAGTGTTCTCGAAATAGTGAGAGAAAAGAATTAAATTGAATTGTTTTTTTCAGTTCGATAGTAATATTATTTTACAATATTTATAGATATTATTATTCTTTATATTATAGTAATATGTCGTTAGCTAGAAATTGAAAATTTAATGTTTATTGTTGAAAATATTATTGGAAATATTATTCCAATAATTGGAAAAAAAGTACAAAAAATTAAGTTAATCCTTTAAATGTTTTCGACTTTTTAAACTTGACTTACAAGCTCCATATTCCGTCTAGAAAAACTTTTTAATATGTCTAAAACGTGTGCTAAATTTTTTTAAGATCGGTCGGATAGGTTTTGCATAATAATTTTGCAATCCAGCCTACTGTAAAAAAATCGCAAATTTTCAAATTTATAGTAGGCCCTAAATAAGGCCCTCAGATAGTTGCAATTTTTTTTACATGTAAAGGAAGGCTCAAACTTCCAAATGCTTTTTGTAAAATTCAAATCGGTTCACTAGGAAAGCCTAGAAAATTTTTTAAAGTTTTAAACATTTTTTAGGCTTATAAACAAATTGAATTTACGAGCTTTAAACATATCATTTTCGAATCAAAATATATTCTCAAATCAAATATTGTCATTATTATGATAAAACTGCAGAAATTAATTATTTTAAAAAGTTTGATTTTTACAAAAAAAAAAAAAAATCGTTCGCCTTTGTTTTAACACCAATTGATACCAATTACGTAGATTCTTTAACCATGAGTTCTGCCTTCGGCCAACAGATCTTCTTCCTTGAATAGTAGGAATCTCATCACGTGGCCTAGGTATTCCAGTTTTCTGGTTTTTATTCCGTATTTGGCACACTTGCTCTATTAATTGGTATGTCTTGAATGTTGTTTAAAATAGGAACGATTTTTTTCATGAACATTCAAGAATATCTTCTTATTCTTCTACCCATGTTTTCTTCTGAATTTGTTTCGTTTTTTAGGTCGTTCTTGTTTTTTGTAGATTTAGAAAGTTCATGGTTAAATAAATAATTTTAATTTATGTCAGAAAGACACTCGTGTGCGTTTATTATCCTTCCCTTATGTTAACCATTGCAGCCTCAAAATAAAACAGTATTATATATTATATCTTATACAACAGTTAAGTAAAAGATATGTCCTTGAAAATTTATTATTTTTTTATAATTATAAAAAAATCATTCTATTTTTAATAATAGTTTTAGCTTGTTTATGTCCTAATAGGTAATGTTTCACTTCCTTATCACATTAATATATTTGTTTTAGACAATTATACAGTCATACGATAACTTCACTACTTTCGATAAGAGTTCTTTAATGTTCTATTTCGCATTGTACGACTTAACATTAAAACACATTCTAATATTTTGGTTTAAAATGACATTATTCTGTAATTCCTAACAATTTTGCTAAGTAGGGTTTTCTTTAAAAAAAATAGATATATTGTTATGATAATTATTAAAAAATATAAATTTTTCGATTCATATTTTTTGTTTCACATACATCAGAGCATTCAGTAACTAAATTAATTTAAAACGATACAAAACTCTTATTGTAATTGACTTATCCTTATTAAACGTCGGTCGTCTATTTATATTTTTATAATTGAGATCTGTCTAGTCTAGACAATGCTTATTGAAAGGTATATAACATTGACATGTATGATACCGCGACGTTTCTACGATATGATGAATACCTTATCTGGACAGCTTGTTGCGCCTTCATCGAAAATATATTTGTAGCACGTAGACAAAAAATGACGACGTAATAGATATTTATGTAACAAGTTCCGAAAGTTATATTTTACAAGACGAGTAGGAAGTTTCCTAGAAGAGTAAAGGGTGATAAAGGGTATAACGCCAGCTAACGGTCTTACAATAATTTCTCTATGGAATTGGAGAGGCTCCGGCCCTCTATTCATGAAAAGATGGAGAAACTATTGATGGTGTGGGTTACAGAGAAGCAGCTTTAAGGCGGAACCTTAGCACGAAGTATTATATGTGAGAAGGCACGAACGATTTACGTTGATTTGCTGAAGCAGATCCCACACACTTCCACAAACGAAGTATCAGAAGTCCTGTTTAGGGGCTGGTTTGATAACAACAATATAGGATACATCCCCCAGCAAGTCTTCAACAGTGAGGAGACAGGGCTTTTTTGGAAAATGATGCCGAATAGGACTTATATAACGGCAAAAGAGAAGACGTCGGTCACAAATCCATGAAGGGTAGATTAACTCTAGCACTTTGCGCCAATGCTAGTGGCTTACAAAATCAAGCCTCTGCTAGTATTCTATTCGGAAAATCCCAGAGCGTTTAATTCACATAATATTTTAAAAGAAAAGCTACCAATTATGTAGAGGGCAAATCCGAAGGCGTGGGTCACCAGGAAATTCTTTGTGGAGTGGAAAACTTGGTATTTGACCCTTGTGTTAAAATATTACAAACAAGTAAAAAACAGAAAAACAACTTACTCATCCAATGCTCGTCCTCGACAATGCCCCTGCTCACCCACCAAATCTCGAAGATTGTATAAAAATTTTCTACTTACCACCCAACACCAGTACTATCTGCTGATGCTGCTCATGCATCAGCGGATGATTTCTAATTTTAAGAAGTACACTAAGACCATTTTTAGGCACTGCTTTGACTTTAAGTTAAACTAAGAACATAAACCTTAGCTTTTGAGAGTTCTGGAAGGACCACTTTAACATCGTGATATGCCTCAGAATTATTATCAGTCCTGGCTTGGTCTTACAATGAGGACCTTAACCTCTGCATGGAAGAAGCTGTGGCCTGAAGTTGAAAGGGCCTTTGAAGGACTGGAATCTTAAGTGTTAGTAGTAGAGGAGATTGTTTTTCTGGAAACATCCCTGTTTTGAGGTGGATGAGAGAGATGTGAACGAACTCTTTGAAAAACAATCTCAGAGGCTGACAACCGAGGAGGAGGATTTACATTCGCTGCAGAATCCGGTGGTTCAACGAAAAATTGGTTTTGAAGAGAAGCCAGAGATGGAGGAGGCTATCTCTACAAAAGATCTTGGGAATGCGAGAGAAAGTTGTAAACTTCGTGGATAAACATCACCTTAAAAAAGTTGCAACTGGTCGTGCATCAGAGTTGTTTACCGAGACTTGCCTAACTCATTTCTGCAATGTCCTGAAAGCAATTAAGAAATAATCCTTCTTGGACAGTTTGTTAAACGATCTGCAGATGAAAATGAGCAAAGCGTGACGAAAAAAGCGAAGACCAGTGACGAAAATTAAGCGCTTCCTTAAACACTTCACTTCATTTTTTATTTTATTATGTTTTTATAGAATATTTATTTGGCATTTAAAAATAAATGCTTCTTCTTGTAAATATATATTTCTTGTTCAAACACACTTAACAAAAACAACTGAGGTGGTCTTTTGGGAGCTGAAACAGATTAATGGCATTTCAGTTAATTTCAACGGGGAAAATTGCTTCTTCTTCTTTTTTCGTTTTATGGCCTCCACCCGGGGAAAATTGCTTTGAGATACGAGTAATTTGACATATAAGTAAGGTTACGGTTGACATATAAGTTAACTCGTATTTCGAGGTACCACTGTATATTTTTTACTTTATATACCCCGGGGAGGGCGGTTTGTTTAACCACTGGTGCGCCACTGACCCTGCTAACACTTGTTACTAAAGGCATAGAACTAATTGTTTTGGAGGAATACTTAGGAGCTGTTAGTGTTTGTTTATATGTTGTGCTAGAAAGTAGTGAACGTAATTGATTAAAAATGACCAAGTATTTATGAGAACGCGAGTTGAAATTAGAAATAGAGAGGATACAGAATAGTACTAGTAATTCAGATATTGAGTATGACGATAATAATTCCGATGTAATCGAAACAGAAGCTTGTATTTTACCAGATCCCCACAATGAAGATTGTGAAATTGATGATACTCAGAATTACAACTCGGATGTAACTCTTGTGCATCAGTATATGAGTAAAACACGTAGAGGTTACTTGCATCACCCTCCACGAATTAGTAGACGATCGAAGCAGAACATCTTCCGAGAACGAGAAGGTCTTCTTAATGAACGCATCTTTACGTCTATTACAGTGTCACTTTTAAAATTTCTCCATGATGACATAATCGACGTAATTATTCGCCACACCAATGAGGAGGCTGAAAGGAAGAAAGTAGAGAAAATCGACAAATCTGAATTACTGGAATTTACGGTATTGTAATTTTGATGGGTGTAAATACGAATACCAAGCTGAACTGCCATGTTTTGTGGTCAAAAGTCTTTGGCAGGGCTATCTGCGTTGGCACCATGAGCAGAAACAGATTTGTAGAAATTGTTAAAAGTTTTGCGATATCATGGAAGATAGGTAAATAAGGGAAGAATGGTGAAAGCAAAATAAATTTTCACTACGTAGAAATATCTTTAAATTATTGCAGAACCCTTAACACGCAGAGGCGCTGCAGAACACAGAGAAAATTAAAGAGATCGCGGACGATCGGCATGCCCTATACAAAGCTCGAACACCACGAAAGCGACTAAAATCTAGGAAAAGCTTCCTTGTAACAGTGCAGAATGAACCGCCTGAGTATTTTCCACTTCCCCAGGTTCAATGGACCGGCCAGACCCTAGACTTTAAAACGTGGAAAACCTTGAATAGGATAAGAACGGGGGTTGCTACAGTAAAATCAAACATGGCAAAATGGGGAAAAATAGACCAAGATGATGTGAACTGTGACTGTGGAGAAACACAGAATATGGAACATCTTCTTACATGCAGAAACGGTCCTCATCGATGTACCCTTGAAGATTTGTGGCTCGCCAACAAAGATGGAACCGACATAGCCTGATACTTGGCCAACATTTTATGAATGACATGTCCGGACACGATAAAGTAAAGTTTAAATTATTGAACGACATATTCCTAAGATAGGTACTAACTCTGGCAGGGAATGTCGT